TCTAATACAAAAAGACTAATTCCTCTAATACTGCATATATTTCATCCACAAACAGTCCAAATTCATCACCTCATATATTTCACATCTCAAATATGCATATATTTCATCAAAAAAAAAGGAGACAGTACTACTAACTTCATCTAAACAGCAATTCATCCATTCAATTCAAGCAAGTCATCCATCCAAACTGCAATTCATCCATTCATCATCTCATCAGGAGGAAGGGGGCGTAGTACCTGGTCGGCGGTTGAGGAGAAGAGGTCGGGGAGGCGGCGTCTTGGCGGCCGACGTCCGGATCGTGGATCCCGGCATCGGGAAGGTCGGGGAGGCGGTGGTCGGCGGTGCAGTTGCCGGCGTTGTGGATCCCGGCGTCGTCTTGGGAGGTCGGTGATGTGGTGAGGACGACGGCCTTGATGGTCGGCGGTGCTGGCCGGCGACGTGGATCCCGGCGTCGGGAAGGTCGGGTCGGGGTCGGCGGAGAGGGCGAGCGGCGTACACATGAGGGCGTAGAGGGCGACGGATATGGCGGCGGTGTGGGCGGCGGTGGAGAGGGCAACGGCGAGGAGGGCGGTGGAAAGGGCGGCGGCGAGGGCGGCGGTGGAGAGGTCGAGGCGGCGGCGGAGACGACGGCGGAGAGGTCGAGGCGGCGACGGTGGAGATGGCGGCGGAGAGGACGGCGGCGGTCGAGAGAGTGAGTGAGAGTGGGTGCCAGATCTGGATCGATCTAGAAGAGGTCCAACCCTAGGTCAACCCTAGTCAAACTCACCTGTCACGGGTGCCAACGATGGGGCCGTCACAGGTGATGTCACCTGTGACGGGCGCCAACTGTGGAGTCGTCACAGGTGTCCTCACCTGTGACGGGCCCAACAGCCCTGTGACGGCCCCGCAGTAAGAGCCCGACACAGGTGAGTTTGCCTACAGCAATTTTATTTTATTTTATTTCACTTAGTTCTTTTATTTTCCTTAACATATTTCCACATACACTACATATTTTGGTATACTTAATTATTTTATTTCACTAACAGTAATAATTGCACTTCATTATTTTACTAATTAATTTATTTTAGTTCCAATGGTTATACTTGTTTAATTATTTTATTTCACTTCTAGTGGGTGCTTGAATTAATTATTTTATTTGACTATTTCATAAGCAATATAATATTGATCATTGTGAACATATTAGAGTCATATAGATAACAGACATGTACACATAAACTACGTACATAAATTACAAAAATAATCATTCCTCATGGTCGACGCGTGCATATTGAACGTCATCTTCTTCTTCCTCCTCTTCTAGAGGTATTTCTTGACCTATGCCGTGGACGTGCTGGTTGTAATCATCCTCGTCTACAATATTGTCCAATCCAACAATTCTCATTTTCCCTTCACGAACAACATGTAGTTTCTTGTTACACGGGTCAACTATGTAGAACACTTGAACAACTTGTTTGGCGAGAACGAACGGTTCATCCTTGTACGCGTTGTTAGCCAAGTTGACAGTGGTGAAACCTTCGTTGTCAACTTTTACATTGCGAAGATCGACCCATCGACAACGAAACAACGGGACTTTGAACTTTAAGTAATCTAGCTCCAATATTTGCTCAACTCTACCATAGTATTGATCACGCTGACCACCATCACCATGCGTAACCCACTGTTCTGCACTGTGCATTTGATGTCTTGCTTTACCGTGTGAAAGGTGTATCCATTTATGTCATATCCTTGCCAGGTGGTGGCACTCCATTCAGGACCATGTGACAACCACTAAGTGTTTCATTAGACAAGTTCTGCAGCCTGGCAATTCGGTTCTTCAGCCACTCATTGAAAGAAGACATGTGCTTATTTCTGACCCAACTCTCTGATCGGCCTGGGTTCTCCTGTCAGAGAACTGCAAGGTGTTCGTCAACGTACGGCACCACCTCAGTCATATGCTGCAGTACCGTAAAATGAGCTTTATCGTACACCTTTCGATCCAACCTAACAGTCTTTCTTCCAACAGTACCAACACCATCAAGCCTCCCTTCATGATGAGATTGTGGTAATCTAATTGAAGATGTTTCTGACATGTAGTCCACACAAAAATCGATGACCTCTTCGGTGGTGTAACTCTCGATGATACTCCCCTCGGGGTGTGAACAGTTCCGTACATAACCCTAAGGATCCCCAGGTACCTTTTGCAAGGATACATCTGCGTCATGAATGCTGGACCACCACACTTTGTTTGCCTCAGAAGGTGCACGGGAAGATGTTCCATTATGTCAAAGAAAGTTGGAGGAAAGTACATCTCAAGATGACATAGGGTTCTCACAAGTTCTGCCTGTAGTTCATCTAGTCCCTCGGGATCAATGATCTTCTGGCCGATTGCATGGAAGAAGGAACACAACCGCTGGATCGTGTGTCGCACATTAGGAGGCAAAATATTCCTTATTGCAACGGGCAACAGCTGTGTGATAAGAACGTGGTAATCATGCGACTTCATTCCTACCAACTTAAGATCTTGCAGTGAAACGAGCCTACTGATTCTTGATGAGTAACCAGATGGAACCTTTATACCACTCAAACATGTTAGCAAATCATTCTTCTCTTCTTTCGAGAGAGTGTAGCAGGCTAGAGGAAGGTAAACCCTGCCGGATTCCGTGGTTATGGGATGTAGTTCCGAGCAAACACCCATTTCTTCTATATCTCGACGGGCGTTTTTGACCATCCTTTGTAGTACCTGGGTTAAGCAGTAATCCCATTAAACTCTCGCATACATTCTTCTCGACATGCATCAAATCTATGCAGTGGCAAACTTCAAGATCCTTCCAGTATGGTAGTCTCCAAAATATTGACTTCTTTTTCCACATACTCCTCTCTTTTGTCTTTTGTTTTTCCACATGCTCCTCTCTTTTGTCTTTTGTATTTCTAACTTTCCTCTTTTTTCCAAACTCGTTGGTTATTCCCATCACTAAGTTGTGCACCTCTGTCCCTGTTAGCTCTGCCGGGGGTCCGGCTGTATCTCTATGTCCATTGAAATTCTTTCTCATATTCCTATACGGGTGATACCTTGGGAGAAATCTCCTGTGACCCATGTAGACCGTCTTGTGTGAATGCTTCAACCATTTGCTTCTTGTTTCCTCCATACACTCCGAACACGCCCATTTCCCTTTCACAATTTGTCCAGAAAGGCTGCCAAGGGCCGGATAATCATTGATGGTACAAAATAGCATCGCATGGAAGTTGAAATACTCTTGTGCATATGCGTCCCATGTTCGTGTGCCCTCATTCCATAGCCTTTCGAAGTCATCGATTATTGGTTCAAGGAATACATCGATATCGTGGCCAGGTTGTCTCGGTCCTTGAATGAGCATGGCAAGCATAATATACTTTCTTTTGAAGCACAACCAGGGAGGACGGTTATAGTTAACAAGCAGAACTGGCCATGTACTGTGACGACTGCTCAAATCACCAAATGGATTAATGCCGTCCGTACACATTGCGAAACGCATGTTTCTTGGGTCATTTGAGAATTCTTGGTAAATCCTATCGATTGTCCTCCACTGTACTGAATCTGCTAGGTGCCTCAGCATACTATCGACTTTCCGTTCTTCGGCATGCCAGCGCACTAGCTTAGCTTGTTCTTATTCGCAAACATTCTCTTCATGCGCTCTGCAATTCGGAGATACCACACCACCTTTGCGGGGCTTCCCCTCTTTGACTTACTTCCTTCACCTTCACTCTTTGCTCGTTTGTATCTTGATGCCCCACAGACAGGGCAGACATCCAAGTCAGCGTATTCCTTGTAATACAAAATGCAGTCGTTCGGACATGCATGAATTCTTCTGACCTCCAGGCCCAACGGACATAATACTTGCTTCGCTTCATATGTCGTCTGCGGTAAATTGTTCCCCTCTAGCAACAGGTCCTTTAATAGCTCAAGAAGTTCTATAAAACTCTTGTCCGACCAGCCATTACTAGCCTTAAGCTTCATGAGTTCCAACACGCATCACAACTTACTGTGCTTCAACTTGCATCCATTATACAAGGGCATCTGACAATCTTCCACCAACTTACTAAACTTCTCAAAATCCCTATCGTTGTCCTCTGCGTCTTCAATGTCATGCAACATTGTAGATAGACATTGAGTGTCCAAATCTATGATCTCTCCACCTAAAGGAGAAGGTACGAACATGCCTTCTCGAGCTGTGGCGGTGTTCTCTACATCCTGATCCAACAGTTCTTCAGCAGCAACATCAGGCGCCTCTTGCTCTCCATGCTTGGTCCAGCAAGTATATTTCTTCATAAATCCATTCATTATCAAATGTGCATGCACTTCATCGCTATCAACGATCATCTACTCATTCCTACAGTCCCTACATGGACACAATATGTGCATGCTCATCCTACTTTTTCTGTCATTATCCGCAAATGTGACAAATTCAGTGACCCCCTCTCTATACTCGGTAGACGAATGATGCGTATGGTACATCCATCTACGATCCATCTGAAATCAACAACATACGAAGAAAAATATATGATGATCGATATACTGAGAATGAATGGAGAATAATGTGTTTTTTTTACCTTGAATTTTAGCAAAAATTCGCCCCCCTTGCCCTCCCAACCGATTTGTGAACAGTAAAATGGTCGGGATGGAAAGCAGTTGGCGGTTTGGGGGGTATTTATAGACCCAACATACCTCAAACGGGTTAGCTAAAAAAAGCCCGTCAAAGGTATTGGTCATACCTTTGACGGGCTTCAATTGAGTTGCCCGTCACTGGTATTCCCTCACCTGTGACGGGTTTTCCTTTCGGCCCGTCATAGGTGAGGGGATACCTGTGACGAGCCGCGGCCGGATGACTCACCGATGACGGCATCACGTATGACCCGTCAAAGGTGATTGTCACCAGTGACCAAATCGTTTGCCCGTCACAGGTAGAGGTGTGAGGATCTGGCATAGTGATACCAACCATGCATCGGCCAGAATGATTCATCTTCTGCAACAACTCATCCCACCAATGGCGCCATTGCGTCGGAGCTCAGAAATTACCATGCCTTGTCGCCCCTGCAGCAAGAGCATCGTCTTCCTCCTGATCATGGTGGAGTGGGTGGTGATCCTTTCCACCATGGCTACGTCCAAAGACACCACGAACGCATTCACCTGGCTCGACTGCCCCACGCCGCCGCCGTCGGCTTCACCGGGGGCCACCTCGTCCATCAACAGCACGTTCCAGGCCAACGTGCTGGCGCTCCTCGCCGCGCTCCCCCCTTCCGCCGGCCCCGCCGCGTTCGCCTCGCTGTCCCGCAGCGAAGGCCGCGACCGCGCGTTCGTCCGCGGCATGTGCCGCGGCGACTCCGCGCCGGACGACTGCGCCACCTTCCTCCGCAGCGCCGTGCTGGACATCAACGGCCACTGCAACGACCGGCGCCGCGCCGCCATCTGGTACGACAAGTGCTTCCTCAGCTACGCCGACACCAACGCGTCCACCGCCTACGAGGGCACCTACCGCCAGGTGTTCTACCACTACAAGAACGTCTCCGACAAGGTCGCCTTCGAGAGGACGTACTACGCGCTGATGACCCGCCCCACGGCGGCGGCCGCGGACGGCTCGGCGTCGGCTGCGCGGATGTTCGCCACGGGGCAGGCGGTGTACGCCCCCGGCTTGGGCAACGGGACGATGTACGGGATGGTGCAGTGCATGAGAGACCGCACGGCGGCGGAGTGCGGCCGGTGCTTGAACGACTCGGTGCAGCAGCTGCCGAGCTGCTGCTGGGGGCACCAGGGCGGGGTGGTGCTCGGCTACAACTGCTACCTACGCGTCGAGATATACACCTACTACGATCTCACCGTCGACGCGCCGCCGCCGCTGCCACTAGCTCCCGGGCCGTCCACCTCCAAGGCCAAGCCATCCGTCGGAGAAGGGCATGGTGAGCCAACTTGGATTGTGCTTGAATATGTATCACTCGCACGGCGTTCCGCTGCCAAAAAAAAATCTTTTTTTTTTCAGAATAATTAAAGAAGGCTATATTTTACTATCCTATCTGTTTCTAAAGTTTATTTTCTCAAAAAAAAAAGTTCTATTCCTTTGCATTACTTAGCTTAGACTACGAGTTTGTTTATTTCTTAATAATGTTTAATTTATCCCTATAATCAATTAGTTAATTCTCCCAATAATCTGCTGCCTTCTTTTGTATAACATGAGTTTTCATTTTCATCTCTTCTATTTATACCCATTGAGCTATTCCATTACTTAACCATAAATTTTGACATTATATTTTTCTTTCCAAACTGGCCATTTACCTGTCCTAGCTAGCTTGTACACTGGTGCTAACGTAAAAACCACGATTCTCAAGCTAAAATGATTTTCAGATTGAAAAGGTAAGTGGATAGAATTATTTGACCGCAAATTTAAAACTGGATTTTCATTTTTAATCATTTTTAAGTTAATTTGATGAAAATTTAAAGGGTAATTTCGAATTTCTCTCCCTCCACAGAGATCACCTCAAATTTGGTTGAAATTGATTAAAAAAGTACATATACAAATTGGTTGTGAAGGATAGATAAAAATAGAAAAAGATGGCGTGATTTGTGTAATTTCACCTTTTTTATTGCAATTCATTTGAGAATTTTAATTTTTATTTGCTTTTCGAAATTTGGGTTGAACAATTTGCCCCTCCCGCCTCAATTTATTAATTAAAATTTTCTTTTTTGACAAATGCATTATAATAAGCTGGCAAGTAATATCGAGGGGTAAATTTCCAAAAATTAATACTCAACTTTAAGGTCAGCTAATTGAATATGTATAAAGAAGATAAAATGATTCAATCCTAGAGGCCGACATGCATGTAGGGGTCCGGCATTGAGCGAACATTCAGAGTCACACTTCTCGATTTGATTTTGTGGCCGTAAATTTTGTCTTTTGACCTCTCGAGTATCGTACCACATATCCCGGTGGAACCGACGACAAATCAAAACAAATAAAACCCGGCTTATTCCGACTTGTAATTTATAGTCAAATCATCTTCACGCTTCACTCTAGCTAGTAAGCTGATGCTAATAATGGCGGTAAAAGAATACTTTTATTTTTCATGATAGGTTCCCTTTTGTGGAATACTTCTTGGTCAGAAACCTGTATTCTGGATTCGTTTTTGGTCAAGTCATTCTTCTACGAAAGCGAGATATAGCCCACGGAGCTGTCTAATATGCATTCTACTGGAACCTCAATCTCACACATTATAGCTGCTTTCAAAAATTTTACGGATTAAGAATTGAATTTGGGGTAATAAATGGTTGTGATGGATGGGATAGAAAAGTGGGTAAAAAATTAAATAAGATATGATTATGATTGATTGATATGAAAAAGTATAGAAATATATATATATTCTAATTTCTCCAATGTAAATCTATATTCTATTTCTAACAGCAGAGATCATCTGGCTATTCTCCCGACGTTGTTTAACCCGTCATATTTGTACTCGGGTCGTAGTAAAACATACTACTCCCTCTATTTCGCGTTTCATCTTGTTAAAAAAATATAAAAATATTTTTTTATTGTGACTGGTTTTACCATTAAATAAAATATAATATTAGCTTACAATTGTATATATTTATACTTTCTCTGTCCCATAAATGTGGTCATTTTGCAATTAACAAGATGTCCCGTATAGCTTGTCGTTTCAGTTTTGCAGGGCCAGTACTCCTTCAGAGTTAGGCTGCATTCGGGAGGAGGGGTCACAGATTGAAGCATGTATTATTGCATGATTAATTAAGTACTAACTAATATTTTTAAAAATGAATTAATATAATTTTTATAATAACTTTCTTATAGAATTTTTTTTAAAAAAATATATCGTTTAGCAGTTTGAAAATCATGCGCGTGGAAAACAAGGGAGGTAGTTGGGAAAATTGGGGGAAAAACACGGTTCACTAGTTTGAATTGAATGCATGCACAGAATTCATTGTTTTTTCTAAAGCACTCAACGACAAATTGGTAATTCTGATTGTGGGCTAATTTGTATCAAAATCTTTAGAACGTCAACCTTTGTGGGATAGAGGAAGTACTAAATTTTTTTAATAGGACGTATAGTTAAACATTGTGCCAAAACCCAACGGCATCATATATTTTGAAAACGTGACATGAAATTTATTTCGTCCAATCGCGCGCTTATTGAGTTTCCTTTCTACAAGCAATGGTTCAATAAACCAGTACAAACAAACAATATGGTTATTGCTAATTTTATGGAAGATATCATGATTCTTATATTCCTCAAAGAAAAAATTATATATATATATATATATATATATATATTCGTATTTTTCCGGTCGTCACATCAATTTTCGTCCCGCTTCGTCGCCTCCCCCCTCCCCCAAAATCCCAATCGCAATCGGAATCCAATCAAAGCCTCGAAAAAAAATCCCAATCGGAGTTCAATCACACAAATAAAATCGAAGAAATCATCACATATATATCCAAATAAAAACCAAAAATTAGATCGAAGGGGGTCGCCGCCGCCGCCGTCATCGCCGAACCACCGCCATAGCCGTCGCCGCCGCAGGGATGGCTGGCTGCCGGCGGCTCCCCTCCTGCTGGATCCGGTAGAGGGGAGAGCGCCACCGCAGCCTCCCGCTAGATCCGCCACTGGTGGTGGGGGAGGGCGCCGCCGACACCGTTGTTGGCGGTGGGGGCCCCTCCCGCTAGTGCCACCACCGGTGGTGGGGGAGGGCGCCGCCGCCGCCGCCGTCGGTGGTGCGGGAGGGCTCCACCACCGCCGCCGCTCGCGGGAGGAGGGGCGCCGTCGCCGCCACTCGCGGGGCGCCTCCCCTCCTGCTAGAGCCGCCGCCGTTGGTGGGGGAGGGCGCCGCCGCCGGTGGTGGGGGAGGACGCCGCCGTCGGTGCTGGGGGAGGGCTCCGCCGCCGCCACTCGCGGGGCGCCGCTGCCGCCGCCGCTCGGGGGCGTTGAGGGGAGGGCGGCGAAGAGAGAGATGGGAGGGAAGGAAATGGACTAGGGTTTCAGCGGCTGAGGGAGGGGGTTTTGTTTCCCCGATATCGACGCTCGGTCGTCCGATCAAAACCCTAGAGATCGGACGGCCGGCGTCGGCCAGGCCGAAATCGGCCCAAGAGGGATCGAGAGTGAGGCCACTTTTCCAGCCCAAGCCCAGGTTGCGGCCTAGGGAGAGAAGTGCGCCCGCGCATGCGCAAAAGGCTGTGGGCCGACCGGCAAGGGCCGGAAATAAGTCCACATTAGGTCCCTTGGGCCGAAAAAAAGAGAAGTTCATTTTTAGTGCTTCATTTTTTCAGAAGCATTTACAATTATAGTATTGAATGTGTTTATTTCTAAGCAAACCTAAAAGGAAGTATTTTCTTTCTTTTTCCAATTAAATAATTATTAAATGATGTTTGTATTATTAAAATTAGCAATTAAGCTCTGAAAATTCCAATAAAATTCTAAAGAGCGTAACTAATCATGGAGACTTTAATAAAATTAAATTTAACAATGTCATTTTATTTCTCACACTTACTTTACTTGTAAATTTATTTAATTATACACATACCTACTTAAAAATACCAAATATTTCACCGAATTTGTATTTTAATTAATTGCATATTTTTCTGATCTATGCGCTTCCCGGTGCAACGCACTAGCACTTTTGCTAAACCAAACAACAATTTTGGTCAATATACACACTCCGTAATCACCTGGTGCAACGCACGGGCACTTTTGCTAGTGTGTGTGTGTCTATATATATATATATATACATACATACATATATATATACACACAAACAAATTTAATATATAGGACACTCGTATGGGGCACCTGTCACGTCCTGATAAATTCATCCCGAAATAAAAATCATTCCCTAAAAGGAATAATAGAATTAATTAAAATTCGAAAAGAAATTGGCAAACATTAAAATACGTACAAGAAAAATTCAAATGTGGCCCGGAGAATTTTTGTTAAATTCTCCTTGGTCTAAAAGGAGCCCTCAAATTTTAGTGGAATTTTCAGAGCACAAATAATAATTGTTAAGAAATAAACAAAGTTAAAATGATTTTATAAAAAGAAAAAGCTAAAAATAATCCCCCTCCTCCCTTTGGGCCAAGTCTGGCCCAAAGACCTCCCTCTCTCTCTCTCGGCCCGCGGCCAAAGTCCTCTCTCCCTCCCTCTCTTTTTCCTTCCCTCTCTCTCTGGCCGGCCCGGCCCATCTCCCTCCCCTCTCCCTCCTCTCCCCGCGGCCCACTCAAGCTCTTCCCGCGCGCGCGCCGCTGACGGGCGGGCCCGCCCGCCACCCTCGCTGACGGGTGGGGCCCACCTGTCATCCCTATCCTCCCGCCGCTCCCGCCGCCCCGCCCGCGCCCTAGCGCCGCCGCCGCCGCGAATCCCGCCGCCTCCCGCCGTCCCCGCGCGCAATAAAGTGGGGGGAATTATTCCCCGTGATTCCCTCTCCCTTTCCCCCCTAATTTTCCCTCCCTCTCTCCCTCGGATTCGGTTGGAAACCGCTCCCCTAACCTTGCCGGCGCCATTAATGGCGGCCGGGTCTCCCGCGCCCATTTCCCCCTCCTCCGGCCGCCCTCTCTCACTCCCAACCCTATATAAACACTCCCCGTGCCTCCCTCCACCATTTCCGCCGCTCGCCGCCCTCTCTCTCCGCCGGAATCGAGCTCGCGCCGTCGCTCTCTCTCTCCGCCGTCGCCGCCGAGCTCCGGTCCGCCGCCGTCGTCGCCCCGGACCACCTTCCCCCTCGGCGCCGCCTCCTTCGGCTTCGCCGCATCCTCGCCGACCTCGTCCACCCCTCCGTTTCGCCCGCCGACCGCCGGAACGCCACCGTCCCCGTCGACCCGAGCCGCGCCGCCGCCTCTCTCCGCTTCAGTCGCCGTTTCCGTTGTCACCGTCGACCCGGGGTGAGCCGTGGACCGCCGTTTCGC